TGGCTTTATTTAAAAATCTACGGTACTTATTGGCTTAGAATCATCAAATTTTGTAAGTTGATGCATCTTGGGTTTTCGGAGAATGATGACCAAAAAGTAGGTCACTATGACCTACTTTCGACATTTTATGGCTTTATTTAAGTATCTATGGTACTAACTGGTTTAGAATCACTAAACTTTGTTTGTTGATGGATCTTTGGTTTTTATACGCCTGTCCTAAGACGGGACGTATTATTAGAGAATGTCGATCAAAAAGTAGGTCATGGTGACCTACTTTTGAATATCTCAGGTACTTTTTGGCTTAGAATCATCAAACTTTGTCAGTTGATGTATCTTTATTGGCTTAGAATCTTCTTTGTTTATTAATGCATCTTGAGTCCTCAGAAAACTTCAATCTTAATATAGGTCACTGTGATGTACTTACGGTTTTTTACATAGCTTTATTATTAAAACTATTTTCAGTCATTATTGGCTAAGTGTAACCAAGCGGAGATGGAAAACGCAGGTTCAGTTTAATAAATTTATTTGGAAATGAAAAAGCAATGGCAGATCTACAAATACAAAAACATATATACAATATCATAATACCCATAGACACTGAGACAAAATACTTTTATTTCCTATTCACCTCAAAAACAAGAAAATTTAAGTTTACTTAGCCCAAAACGTCATTTTCATAGTTTAAAATACCTTTCTTTCAAAAATGTGAAAAATACTTGAGATTATAACTTGGACTTAATAAATAAAATACAAAAATTCAATAGACTAAGAAAATTACCTTTCAAGTGGTGACAACGGGCAGCTGGTAATAGTTAAGTTAAATTTCCCGCACTGGCAGGGATGGGCCCATGCCTCAGTATATATATAGCAGAAAAACCGGTTTAACAAGGGGGTAAAAATTTACTGGCCAATGAGATTTTGTGAGTAGAATTCATGAATGGAGACTACTATCAAATATGGCATATAGTAAATTATAGCTCAGTAAGTTATTCAATAAAGATAAAAAATTATTTTAAATAAATATGACTCTGCCACATAAAAATCATCAAACTTTGTCAGTTGATGCAACTTGAGTCTTAGGATACTTAAGGTTAGAGGCTTCAAATAGAAGTGGTAGATTGTACAATTTATCAGAAGAGCGATTCAAGGCCCTTGGTCCTCTTGTTTTCTTGTCTTGCTTATCTTTCCCTTCATCCTCGAGCTCTGCCATCTTTATGGTAATTGCTATCTCTGGGTTATCCTCCCGTTCTCCTCTACAATCTTTATGGTAATTGCTTTCTGTTGGTTATCCCTCGCGTTCTCCTCTACCATCTTTATTGTAATTGCTTTCTTTGGCTTAATTTTCTGTTTCTCCTTTGCCATCTCTCTGTTAATTCCTTTACAAGGACAATTTTCTTCATGGCATAAGCTTCTTACTTTTCATAGAATGCTGTCGAACTACGAATTTTTCTTGGATAAATCTTCCTTGCATTTGCTTCATTAATTTGATTTTGACAAATAAATAAACAAGTTTTGATTTATTTGTGCATGAGTCTGCTACTTAGAATAAATAACAAAAAACAGTACAGAAATTGTTTTTCGATATACGTTAAATAATTTTCGTTTTAAATAGATGCTTATTTTCTATGATAATATAAATATTCAAAGACTTTGGTGTTAGTGGGGAAAGAATTCCCCTTTTCTTTCACACACTTGCTCCTACTTCTAAGAAATGCAAGGTTGACACCTTTAGTTCCGCAGAAAACTCGGAGAACTTGGAGTGGTTTTGAATAGCAATTTTTGCATATTCAAGGCTCGTCGTTTTTGTTACACAACTCGTCAACAATCGCCTCCAACTATTTTTTTATCTTGCTGCCAAACTCTTTCGCCAGTTAATTTTCTCCCTTTGAGCTTACGACTTTTAACATTTTGTGCTAAATAATTAAAACCTTTTCCTTTACCGGTGTGGCCGCCACCATGCTTGTTTTAGTAATATAAGAAAGGTAGGTCACGTGTATTGGAACTTTTTTTTTCAGGCGTTGACAGAGATGTAAGTGAAGCATGCGTAGCGTCCTGTGGTAAGAGAGTGGGTTGGTTGTAAGTTGCTTAACGTCCCTCTCTATTTTTCACTCATAGAAACGCCACTACTTGCCGGTGAAGAGCTTCAAAGTTTGTCCTATACTCGGCACTAAGGACCATTGAGCAGTAAGGGATTTTTCTCGTGCCAGCACCTACTGCGACACGGGACCTCGGTTTATACAATCTCATCCGAAGGACTGGTCTCCACGTCCAACAATGGAATTCGAACCTTCGATGTAAGGATCGACTTCTTACTTAGCGACTCTTGAACAGACGTTTTAATCACTTGGCCATGAAGGAGTGCCTACGGGCTGGAATATGCAAAGCATCCATGTCTTTAACTATACTCAGAATGATATCCGCTGCTTCACCTTCTGAAGAATCGATCCCTTGAATGAATAATCAAGGGCTTTCGGTAATTTTTGACAAAGAGACACTATTTTTCTCTTTTTGCAGATTTCCGCTTGACAGTGAGGAGGGATGAAAGATTAAAAACTTAAATCTATCCTTAATTCCCCAATGGCTAAACAAGGAGAAACAGACACGTGGAGCAAAGATTTCCAGTACTGCATTAGGCCAATTTTTCTGCACAGGATGTGGATGGATACCAAAAGAAAGATAAACATTGGATGAAAATAAACTTGGTTCCAGCTTCTTGGAAACATATATTTAGCAATGACGGCTGCTACAACATGAATATTTTCACTAAATGCCCGAAGCTTGAAAATCTCTCGTTTTCCGCTGGGTTATTTCTCTCGTTTTCCGCGGAGTTATCTCTCGTTTTCCACGGGGTTATCTCTCGTTTTCCGCGGGGTTATCTCTCTTGTTTTCTGCTGGGTGATCTCTCTCGTTTCCCGCGGGGTTATCTCTCGTTTTTCGCTGGGTGATCTCTCTCGTTTTCTTCGGGGTAATATCTCTAGTTTTCTTCGGGGTTATCTCTCTCGTTTTCTTCGGGGTAATCTCTCTCGTTTTCCTCTACCATCTTTTTGGAACATGTATTTGCTATCTCTATCTTTCCCGTTCTCCTCTGCCATCCTTATGTTAATTTCATCTCTGCCTTATGCTTCTACTTCTCTAAAATCTCTCTCTTAACTCTTTTATTTTGATATATAAATTCTCTTTTTTGGCTAAAGATTTCTGTTTTTTTTTCTTTCAATGCTGTCTGACTTTTTTCCTAATCATAACTATGTATTTATTTAGTTTAGTCTAGTGGACGGAACCCTAAATAATGAAGGGAATTTCGGTGATTTTTGCAAGAGACACTTTCTGGAAAGAACTGAATTTGAAAGTGCTTGTTTCGCCGTTTGCAGCTTTTGCAGTGAGAATAGATGGAAGATTAAAAATTTAAACCGATCTCTAATTCTCTTTTGTCTTAACAAGAAGACACTGGCACAAAGTGAAGCAGAATTTTCCATTAAGTGGCCATTTTTTTTCTGCACAAGATGGGGATGGAAACCAAAAGAAAAGTTAACATTCGGATGAAAATTCATCCGATTTTCCCCAAGTTTCCAGCTGCTTCAGAACACATTGCATGACTGCTTCCGCATCATGAATCAGTTTAACATATGGAGAAATGATGTGCAGTTTATTCATGAGGTTACTCTCACGTGATTTATTTCTCACTAATATTTACAAGATTCTGCATAAACTCAAATTATACCATTTTTTATTTTGTATCAAACCATGTAATAGTATTTCTTTCTATTTCTTGAAGTTCCAGTCATACATGTAGCTATATGGGTAGAATTGCGTGATTGTCAGTAGGCAATTGATGATACTGTTAGTTTAAATAAATATGTAGGTCAGACCAGTGCAAGAAATTGCCCTTTTATATTTAAAAGGTGGATGTAACTCTTCATAAAATGCAAAAAAAAAATCTATACATTATTATAAAAAAATAAAGAATATACTTCTGATTGCACCTTTAGATCGGTGGAAGAACTCTGATGCTAGTTGAATCTCGAGCTCGAGGCAATAAAAAGCACCCTGAACACAACTATCCTAAACCAAGTGATAAGGTTTTTTTCTTCACATTAATCAAAATTCCACTGAAAAGAAAATTTACTTAAAAATATTCACTTTGGGTGGTGGGCTCGACAGCAAAATCCATGGAGTGCACAGACTATGCGCTCTTGATTAGTCGAATGATTTTTCAATGTAAGGTGCATCTGGTTGATACAAGGCTTCTTATGACAGGAATGTCTGTCCTCAAGCTTGCACCAGAAAACATTGACTTGGTCAGCCTTATCTCCACCATAAGAGCATCCCGATGCTCTTTCTCAACAACAACACCTCCTCTGGCCATTGTACTCGTATGACCCCATACCCGTATCAATCAACCCGCCTCTCCAATAGATGCATTCCCCCTCTTTTTTCACTTTTCAAAGTCAATTTCTCTTTTTGTCTGTCAAAAATTTTTGCCATATTAGTCAACTTACTTAGACTCTTTGATTGGTTAAAACAAATAAACTATATTTATTCATTAAGTAACATGACATATGATTTCAAAAAACGGTAAAATTTAAATAATTTTCTTTTTAAATAGATGCTTGATCAGTTGAATATTTAGGTGTTTTAAGTTCTTCTATTTCTGAAAAATTTCTAAGATGTTTAAAGAATAATGAAGAAAGTCTGTGTTACCATGTTACATTGCATTAACCCGGCTCTGATTTTTATAAATGTTTTTTTTTATTTTGATATAGGTTTGCATATCTGATTAAATAAAAAATCAATACATAACCACCACCTGATATTGCTAGTTTTATGGTCAAAGACTAATAAATATATAACCACAATGCTACATTTCTGCAGCTTAGAGACTGACACACCAGGGGTAAAACGATACCCCCCCTTTTTTTTTGTCAGAATGGCAGATGAAATTTGTCAATTAAAAGTCAAAACCATTCTCCTTAATAATTACTTTGAGAGATAATGTGGATAAAGAAGCTGATCATTGATGTTTATTATGGATAAAATGATTAATATATTGACAAAATGGCTGTTTTAGAGTAAAAAGTCTTTAATTTCAGCAGTGAGGAATATTACAGGTACTCCACCGAACTTTAGGGTTGACGGTATAACACCAAGGGGCGGGCTCTCCATCCGGGTTCCTGCAGTAGTTGGATTGGTCGCTGAGATAAGTATATTTATGTGTGTTGGGGGTCTGGCTACTCCAAGCTTGACATAGGTCTCCGGTATCCGCCACGTTATGTGTTCCGTAGTACCGTTCTCCTTTAGGATCCGAGTTGGGTAGGCATTCTAGAGCTGGAGTCACTGTGAATGAGAAGTTATATGTAAAATTTAACTTTAAGTCTTTTAGGCATACACTGAATAAATTTATTTTCTTTATTAACAGTATTTGTATTTAAATATAATGTAAAAATCATCATTTTTCTGCACACTTTTGATCTTTTAGAATTAATTTGGTTTTTTTTTTAAATCTTAAGTTTTTATATATGAGGTTTATATATATATTTATATATCCATATATTTCAGCAAACTATTTGAAGGATGCGACCTTTCGTCATAGAGATTTTATAAAATGATTAAAAATCACATTTGTTTCTAAGATTTATCTTTCTTTTATGAGTGTTACTGGCACCTTACTACCATGTTTTAACTCTACCAAGCAATCGTAAGAGTAAATCTCAAATAGGAGCTTGACTATTTACCACAATCTGGAACATCACAGGTCTCAAAACGTTTATCAGTATCCATGGTGTAGCACCACGGGGCGGGTTCGCTGTCAGGATTCCTACAATAATTCTCAGGTAAGTCCTTTCCCACAGAATGTGAATGGGGAGTGTCTGACGCCCATGCCTGGCATGTCCTCCCCGATTTTGTGACGTTGATCTTCCCCCGATATTCCCAACCCGTGGTTGTTCTTTTACAATCGGCCTCCTCCACTTGAACTTTGAATTACATTTCAATTTGAAATTAAAGGAAATAATATTAAAACCAAGTGAACATCAGTTAAATTTCCGAAATAACATTTGGAATAATTTCAAATGTCGACAAGAAATAATACATTTAGTTACGAGAATTTAAACATGAAGTGTAAAACACTGATTAAATAGAAACACTGATGGACGTTACCTAAAATATTTTATAGCAGAATTAATATAACAAGTGTTAAGATTTAAATTTACCCTCTGTTTCACAATTATTCCCTATAAATCCCTCCAGACATGTGCATTTATAGGACGTTCCATCCACCTCACAACTTCCTCTGTTTTTACACGGATTAGGAAAACAAGGGGAATCCGCTACAAAACCAATCCAATATCACATACACGTATCTTCTTCATAGGCATCGGAAACGCGGGGGGGGGGGGGCTTAGCCCCCATCCCCCACTTTTTTTGCAAAAATAGACATCATATAGGCTTTGAAAATTGGGATTTACCTTTTTTGTTGGGTTAGCTAGCCCCCCCTCCCATTCAATTTTGCTTCCGACGCCCATGTTCTTTGTGAACTTATTTTCTTTATACTATGTTAAGTTTAGTCTACATGTGTATACACGGCTGTTCTCTTCAGGGAAGCAGACAGGCTTACGCCTACATCCACTTCTTTTCGCAGATCTTCATGTTGTTAGTCTGGAAAACGTTTAAATGTAGAACCGTCGACGGCCTACACTTCTCTGTAAAAAGAAGTGGATATAGGCAAAAATCTGTCCACTTCTCTAAAGAGAATAATACGTTGGCAAAATAATGTATGGAAGAAACGTCAAATATAGCTACCTAAAATTCTTTATGGGTTTGTTATTAATTTTAACCTTGTAAATTTACAAAAGGAGAAAATGTTTACGTTTTGAGAAGAAAGTTTTATTACCACAGGATTTTATTGCACAGTCTTCCTTGGTTGGACCGCTTTCTCCCTGAATGTAACACCATGGCTTAGATGACATATCAGGGTTCCTGCAGTAGTTTACGTTTTCCTTCATTGAATCTGAAATTCCGGCTTATGTTAATCATTTTGTAGGAATCTGAATGATTAGAAACATCAACATGTCTTGCTTAAATAATACTATAGTAGAAAGTGTGACAATTAAAAGGTTATCGAAAAAATGTACATTCTTGAGCATTAATCCGAGTTCTAGTCACTTGATTAAAAGCATAAACCTGTTTTGCTTAAGAATGCATGTAGAAAGTGTGGCAATTAAAGCTTATAAAAAAAATGTACATCCTTGATCTAATAAAAATGCATTCGGAAATATGAAATTCGATATGGGGACATACCATTTGGCCAGTTTAGACAAGTTTTCCCAGAAGCCGATTTAGAAATAGATCCAGCATAATCTAAACCCCTTCCTGTCATAATACAGTCACGTTGAATTTTTTCTGTAAAAGGATGCATACAAAGAATTTATGACATAGTTCATTTATTCAAAAAGATCTTTATAAATGAAGTAAGAAAGACTTTTTTCCATTAAAATTGTATGGTGTCTTGAAAGTAAGAAAAAAATATACAGATTTTTTTAATATTGGTCTTCTTTCATTGCATTAATATATATTAATTAATTGAGAAAACATATGAAGTAATGGGCAAATATCATAAAGTTATTTGAACCTTTCAGATGACACTGAAATTACTGAAATACAGTGATGTAGCATCGTTATTGAAAGGGGGCAGCCAGATATTTTTATTTACTTTCCTGAGAAAGTTCACAAGCAAAACAAAAAAAAAAAAAAAAGAAAGAAAGATAATTGCCTAAACTCGAAAATCCTATTTTCAATACCACTTAAATTCCTTCCAAACCAAATTGTTTTGCCCTTACAGTATACAGTAGAAAAAAGGGGGGGGGGGGGGGGCAGCAGCTTTTCAGTGAACATTTTCAATAGTAAGATTTATGTCTGGGAAAATAGTGGGGGGTCAGGTCCCCCTGTCCACCCCTGTTGCTACGTGCCCGAAATTATACACAAATCTACATTTAAATTCTTGACTAGTTATTTTAAATTACATTGCACACTGCTTTAATTTAATTATAAATATTTTATTTTAGATATGAAAATCAAATGAAAACATTTCTTTCTAGGTACCCCGAATTGTCCCAATCTAAAACATTACAAAATCAACATATATGTCATTGATCTTGTGAACTGGAAATGTTGAACTCTCCTTGAAATGTTATCTTTTATTTGGTTTTAAATTACCTTGTCAATTCTTTCAAGCTTTTATTAATAATTTACTTGTTCGACATTTTAATTTGGTGAATAATTACCTCCCACGGGACGAATGAAACTGTTTGCCTAGAATATCTAAATTATCAATTTTATGTGCGGGTCTGTCATTTTGTCCCGTAAACTATTTGTCCCTTTAGAATGTAGTGGAAAATTACTCTTTCAACCCTCCCTCCTTCAAAAGAAATTTTTTTTTAAAGAATTTCCCACGGCTTTACCGCATTGCTGTACATCACAAAGCTCCCAGCGAGTGTCGGGATCCTGTGTGTAACACCAGGCGCCTGCGCTGTTGTCCGTGTTCCTACAGTAGTTCTCGTCCTTCACCAGGTTGTTGTAGGAGTGAGTGTGTGGAGTCTGAGAGTCCCACCTCTGACAGGGGATGCCTGTCTTAGTATGGCTGACCGTCCCGCTGTAGTCTGCTTGGTTTGGTGTATAGGCACACTCGGTGGAAGCTGTTATAAATTGAATTGCTTATTTATTTCATTGCTCAAGATGATTTTGATAGTTTAAATATGATTATCCAAAAAATACTGTAAATGCACATGTTCAAATATTCGTGGGGGGTTAAATTTCGTTTATTTCGTTGTTAACAATTATTAACGAAATTAAATCCCACACGAAATTTTATATGACTATATACTGAATAGGCTTACTCTCAGAACATCAAAATAAAATGCCCACGAAACTATTTTTGATGACAAATCAGCGAAATTTTATCCCCACGAAAATTTGTGCTTCTACAGAAATAAGTATATATTTTACTTTTTTGGAATTCGAGTGCAGAAATGAATATCCAAGATCCATCAAACTTAATCAAAAGTATTATTGACTTTTTTTGGAAAAAATATTGATAAAAAAACACATTAACTGCTCAAGCATGAGACAAGGCCAAACATGATGATATGTGTTTTTTATTCAGAATTCAAGATCTTAATATGCAGGACATACCGCAGTATGGAACATCACACCAGTCCCATCTTGTTGATTCAGAGGTAGTGTAGCACCAGGGCTCAGGCTCATCAGCGATCCGACAGTAGTTAGACTGGTCAGCCAGGTAAGCGTACTCTTCAAAGAAAACATCAAGCTCAAATTGTACATTAATTACAATTTACACGTTCTCAATTTATCTTAAAGTATTCAATGTATAACGACCATATTTTGTACCTAATAAATTGAATGGTCTGATATTTTTTATCATGGTAGCATAAGGAAAATTTTAACAAATAAAAATACTCCACCGAAGGAATTTTGCTTATTGTCCAAATAATTGCACCTTGAATTTTACATTGAAGTCTATGGGCAGCTTATGTTTTCATAAGATATTGTAAAAAGTAATATGAATTTCAAAGAAATCTCTTGGTGAAAATATGCATAAACTCCCTCTTTATTAATATATGAAATAAAACGAATTGTGTACTGCAGATATTGTGAGAAATTAAAAATTTTCTACTTTTCATCAAGGGCAGATCACTCTTCAAAAACTTTTAACGTGCAAAATGACCGTCTCCTTACATGTTATCAGTCTTTTGAATTTGGTTCATTTCACTTTCACCGTTATCTAGAAATGTGTTTTTAACTAGTTTAAAATAATTTAAAGTTGTTCAAAATCCCTTCATTATACATTAAATACCTTAACAAAATCATAATATCATCATGTATAATTGTTTGTGATATATAAAGTTTGCCCAAATTTCAATAGTCTTAAGTTAGATATTTTTTAATACAGTAGGAATTAATTACTTGACGTTATTGAGTGCGGTTCGTTAGCTGCCCAGGCTTGACACGTGATCCCGCCTTTTGTGTAGGCACGTGTACCCTCATACTCCTTTCCCGGTTCAATGCATTCTTTTTTAGTGTTCATGTCTGAAAAGAAAAGTACAGTATTGTTTTAACGTTTTTTTTCCGCTTAAACTATCTTGTACCAGCAATTTTCTATATGTACCCTCTTTTAACCTGTTAGAATTATAAAACTAAATTCCTATATCTGTTTGTAATGTTTGATCCATCATGAAACTGAAACTAAATTAGTTTTAAGTCAGTTTTAAGTCGTTGCATTTTCAATGGCGATTTCAAGCTCAAACAGTTTGGTTTACAAAGATGGATTCAAAAGTTTTCATACAAAGGTGAATAAGATGCAGCATGGTTAATATATTGAGGTAGGAAATACAAATACATAGTAAATTAAATTTGTTAAATAAGTCGTATGTAACATTATATCACAGAATGTATTATCTCACTGGTGTATTTCAAGGTTATATCACCCCACCCTCCACTTCTACACTATACAGACTGAGTAACCAAGAAATTGTTTTCCTTCAGTTTGACTTCCTTTATTATACAACAGTACTCACCACACTGGCCCACCGCCCACGTGATCTCATCTAGCGCTACGTCACTATCCCACGCATCTCCTGTAATGGCCTCAAATGACAGCTAAAAATAAATTTGAAACAAATTCATTTTTTTTTTAATATTTCCAATCTGAAATTTTATTTATGACTCTTTATTTAACAAAGTAATATGTTTTGGAAATTGAGAAATTTTTTATTGTATTGCTGAATATTAAGTTTAGCAATATCATTTTTTAATTTACACGCAACACAGACCCCAAACGAAAATCCCCTTCAAACCCTCCACCTTCCAGAAAAAATCAAGGAAAACAAAGACTATTGTAAATTGAATATAAGATATTGGTCTTGACATATTACAAAGCATCTGTTAAGAATGCTTGATCACTACAAAATTGAACTACACACTAAAATTTCAATTCATTTACGTTAAGGACACCTTACATGTTATTTAATTAGAACTTTTAAGTGTTCAATGTAAAAATGTTTAAGTACACGACGATTTTATACTTTTAGTCCTGCTGTTGCCGGAACATTAACTTTCGCCGTCAGCCAATCAGATGCTTGGTTTCCTTCTTTGGTCCACAGTGAGGTCTTAGCTGCGTTTGTTCCCTCGGAAAATAGCGACAGCTTGTAAACGTTTCTTCCAAACATGTTGTACGCAAAAGAAAGACAACCGCTCTTCTCTGTTATCAATGAAAGGAAGCTAAAATTAACGTGCATGCATTTTATCGTGCAAACATTAACCAGCAACATGCTTAAGCAAATAAATGGAAAGAAAAACGAATGTGAGATTCAGGATTCTTGATTCTTTCCATCGAATTTTGTGAAAAGAGGCATTGATATTCAAACCATTTGGCTTAAATCAAGTGATATGTTACAATATACCTGGTAAGGATACTTTTGATTTGAGAATGGCCTTATCCCCGGGTTTCCTGGGTAAAGACATTTCAGCAAATAAGAATCTCTGTCCTCTGTAGGCCTCCTCCGGCCCCGTGCTCGTGGACAAACTATGTTTCTGTAATTAATGCAGTGTTATTTATACATTTGTAAACTATGTACAGCGTAAAACTTACAACAGTATCTTATAAGATATTTGAAAGAAGGGAGTTATCTGAAGAGAACATCCAATGTACATTGTATAAGACATGATTTCTGAAAATAAAACATTCTGATTATTCATTTATCACTGTTTTGGTTTTTGAAATGTATTTCTCATACTACATGTATACTTTCTTTGTTAATTAGTTTTATAAACTAAGCCTTATCTACGTGTAAATCATTATGAATTTAAAGAATATACAATGTATCAAGTTATCATAATCTATGCAAGTAATTTAACGATTTTTCTCTAAGTCCAGCATCATGGTTCATTTATCTAAATAACGACAAGGTTCGAAGTAAGTATCGAACATAGTTTAAAGTATTTTCCTAATGTCATTAATGTCAATATAAATGTATAATTTGGTAAAGGGAAACATGTTTTGAAAAGTAATTAAAAGAATAAATACGTACAAAACCAATACCCCATTCAAAGTCATCACCTTCCTGGATATTACTGAAGAAACACTTCTCAAACCTCTCAAAAGTACATTTAAGTTGAGCACCATCTACACAAAAAAGTCAAAATTTATGCCACTAACGAAAAGCAAAAAAAAAAAACAAAAAAAAATTCACTCAGTATCATTAATATACATGTAATGATTATAATAATATATCATCAGGATATAATGCAAAATTTTATCTTTATTACTGATAATAAATAAATAAAGACTTTCAAACCATTACAATTCTGACCTATTGTTCATGTATATTTTTTTGTCTTTGTTATACTTGTTTTTGAATAAACAATATTCAATAACAATAAATAAATAAAGTCCCTTTATTTGGTCAATCCATCGACGTAAAAATTTAACAGAAAGACACTATGATAACCTTAGGTCGGTAACAGACAATCTGTATTATACAAACCATACCTACATCTTGATCACAGCTTGGTCAAAAACAAAACTTTATCTGTACTGTGTAAACAACCCTACCTATAACTTGATCACAGTTGTCTCCCGTGTACCCTGGCTGACACACACACTTGTACTGACACGCCCTGGTCTGGGAGGGAACACACACGCCGTACTGACAGAGACTGTCCCTACAAACTACAAGATAAATAGTACTGTAAAGAAATGTATAAAGAAATCTGTAAGATTTTAAAACGTAATTCAATAAATATATATTTTCGATACCTTTCGATAATTTCCAAATGGACATTGAACAATTGATAAAAAATATCTCTTAAAAGTAGGGAAATATTTTTTTTTATTTACACTAAGAGCAAAACCAGTATAAGCTAGTTTATTTAAAAGATATGTTATTGTAATCAAGTGTTCTTACTGACAAAAATAGGATCTGTACTTTAGAAATAAGCGGATCTGTTCACAAAATATCATGTATGATAAAAACTTGACAAGTCTTGTTCTGTTATGATATATGGTTTTTTACTATATCCAAACGCCGCTTAGACCCCCCCCCCCTTTCGCAAATATAGACATAACATAGGCACTGAACACTGGGATGAAAGGTCGCGTCTACCCCCACCCCCCAATTTCAACATGCACGTTCTACTTTTGCTTAAAAAAGGGTAAATGGCAATGTTTATAACCAGAAGTCTCTGTCGAGACTGAAGCTCTACTGTACTTATAGCAAAGGAAGAGAAAAGTACTTAAGCAGTTGGGAATTGAAACTTTACAACAGCAATAAATAGAATAATGATCCTTGATAAAGTCTCTTTATATTCTTAGTGTAGTCTACTTGTGTGCCAAGTTATATTGAAATCAGACCAAAACTGTAGTAGGAGTAGCATTTTGAAAGAATTTCACAGAAATTTCTATTTTTAGTAACCACGGCAACACCGTTTATCGAAATCAAAAACCGATACACAGAATTATGTAACTTAGTGTAGTCTACTTGTGTGCCAAGTTATATTGAAATCAGACCAAAACTGTAGGAGGAGTAGCATTTTGAAAGAATTTCACAGAAATTTCTATTTTTAGTAACCACGGCAACACCATTTATCGAAATCAAAAACCGATACACAGAATTATGTAACTTAGTGTAGTCTACTTGTGTGCCAAGTTATATTGAAATCAGACCAAAACTGTAGGAGGAGTAGCATTTTGAAAAATTTCACAGAAATTTCTATTTTTAGTAACCACGGCAACACCGACTATCGAAATCAAAAACCGATATACAGAATTATGTATCTTAGTGTAGTCTACTTGTGTGCCAAGTTATATTGAAATCAGACCAAAACTGTAGGAGGAGTAGCATTTTGAAAGAATTTCACAGAAATTTCTATTTTTAGTAACCACGGCAACACCGATAATCGAAATCAAAAACCGATACACAGAATTATGTATCTTAGTGTAGTCTACTTGTGTGCCAAGTTATATTGAAATTAGACCAAAACTGTAGGAGGAGTAGCATTGTGTGTTTACAGACAGACAGACAGACGGACAGACGGACGGACGCCGGACGCATTACTATCGCATAAGCTCTTCTGGTCTCTGACCAGTAGAGCTAAAAATGGTAGTGAAAGTTCGATTCAACCCAACCAACCACCCCACCACAAAATAGGACATTTTGCTTTTTTTTTTTTGTTGGCTTGTCAAGTTTTTTTTTTATGTTTTGAAATTTTTTCTCCCAGCCACCCCCCCCCCCCAAACTTTCAGTTTGCTTCCGACGCCAATGATGTCATATGATATAATAAAAGAATTATGCTTCTTAAGGTTGAAGAATGGGAATTTTACCTTTGTTTGTGAAATGTTTTCAGATGAAAAGATATTTTGAATGAGAAAATACCTTCTTTCTCTTTTTCAAAATGAAGTTTGAAGCCTTTGTGTGTGACCCTGCTGCCCGCAAATTTGGTATCCATGGTAACGATCATTAACGTTGGTGAATCGACTGACGTCAGGAAGGTTTCTCCAACTACGTCACCACATCGGCTGTCCGTCAATAAATGAAATTATGATCAGTTAAATCAGCAAGCTATCATCTTATTATTTATATGACATGCATTACCTCAGGGTGTCGTATTTTTGTTTAAATGCTTTTTTATCATAATGTCTTTGTTGCAGTGCTTTAATTTAGTGTACTGTAATTTTTTTGAAATTGTGCTAAAGCTTATTCGTATATTTGTTAAAGTGGTAGTTTTTGTTTAATGAGTGAAAATACATGGGTTTAACCTTCAATTAATTTTTGTTGATTTAAATCTAAAAGAATTTATAGTCACTGTGTGCATTTTACTTAATTGAGTTATCAAAAATTTATTAATTTTCTATACAATTAAGTTTGCATGGCATTGCTTAACGAGTGTTTTAATTTGCCGGATGTGACGCTACCTTATGCCGGGTTGACCTGGAAGGTTATACTGTATCTCCAACCAATGGTAACATCGTACTGTTTTCGGGTTATAGGCCATGTGGAGGTCATCTATTGTCATCTTTATTATGTAACCTTCTGGTCCCTGTAATGTATAATTTATTAATTGATGCATATGCTAAGAAAATTTACTGCAACTCATCAGTTTCATAAAAGTAAAGCCAGCAGCAAATCGGTGTTGATATCTTCATAAATCAATCATAATTTTTATTTAAAAACCGAATATCACATAAGATAAAAAAGACATAGTGCTCAGATAAAAATTATTACATTACATTAGTTAAACCTCAGTAAAAAAAAACCTATTGTTTTGCATAGGCTACGTATTTTAAACTTGTGATGAGGAACAATGTAAGTATGAAACCGTAGAAAATTTTCTGAATTACCTTAACTGCCCATCTACAAATTTTCCCCTGTCCAATAGGGCCGGGATAATTTGGTGATGTGATTGTAACATCTTTGTTTGGCTCCAAAACAAGATCTGTCTCCTTCAGATAAACATATCCTCCACAATCTGATAATAATATGAACACGTCAAGATAATTTGAAACAAAAAATGAAGGCTTAATTGGCTCTCGCAAGATAACTTTATGTTTGTTTTAGAGAATATATAAATATCATTAAAATATGTTTAGTTGAAATCTATTGAAATAATTTTTTTCCCTAAAGAGAAATAAAATTTCTATAAGAAGTCAAACGACTTTCGATAAGATTATGTTTTTTACGTATGAAACATGTGCAGTTCTAGAAAAAAAAGTTGTAGGGGAATACGTTTTACAATTGAAATGCGGTAAACTTGTGCTTTATTTTAAAGTGAAACACTTTACATGTAAAAAATCGTGAAAGAAAGAGAATTGTTAATAACAAAATTTGAATTAAAATATTAATACCTGGATCTGTATCCACAGTCTCACACGTGGTCCCGGTAAATCCCTCAGGACAGCTGCACTGACACGTGAGGTTTACGTACCCGCCATTCTCACAGACAGGGGGTGACGTACAATGAGCTGCAAATATGAAAATTAATCTTAAAAAAAAGACATGAAATTACTGTGTAATGTTTTTTTCCTAGATTGTACAGGTAATATAATTTTTGTTCATAATTTCTCTGCAAGTTTAACAAGGTAAAATGTCCTTTACTGGCTATTACAAGCGACTTTCAACAGTTCACACAACCAATACAAGAGGGTGCAATAAATTGAAGTAAAAATATGTAACACAAGACAGAAATATAATTACTGCTTATAAGTTTGCGTGCTTATTATTACAAGTGTATGCAGTGTTTGTTTACTGTTATAAATTGTGTTAATTTATATCACAAATTTTTAATAAAATGTTTTCAATTTAATTTAACTTTAACACAAGACTTTTGTTTAAAAAAATGTTAAATTCAATTTTAGGAATGCATGCAGTGTGTCTGTTTACGTTAAATGCACCTACAATTAATTTAGTTCTATGTCAAGCTGACTTCCAAGATACAACTAATGTGTTTTTATGTGTTTGTTTACTGTTATAAATTGTGTTAATTTATAACATTGTTTGTTTTTACAAGGTTTTTGTTTTTTTTACGAGTTTGTGTGTGTTCATTACAAAAAAATTTGTGTTTGTTTAAAACATTGTTTTTGTGTGTGTATTACGGGTTTTGTGTTTAAGAAATAAAGTTGGCGTTTTTGTGAATGTTACAGGATACCGAGGCGTTAGCCCAGGCTTTTATATTTCAAAGAACATTTTGAGACGGGGGAGGTTATCCTGCATCTTTCACGACAACAAGGACTTCATTTCTATTCTGCTAAGATCGCTAAAATACGACTGAGCGTTTCCACTACAGAGAAACGAATTAGGTCACAATGTCTCGATTACGCTGTTCCATTTAACACCAGAGGGAAAATTTGTTTGCTTACCTGTGTTTGGAATGAAAACGATTTGGGCTTTTGTTGCAAAAAAATAGACGTTTTTAATTACAAATTTGTTCGTAATACATGTATGTATTGATTTTAATGAATACACAGTGACAAAATCATGTTCCTGCATGTTTTACTGCTTTATTGGGACACACATCACGTTGTTTAGATGTATAGAGAGGTCCATGGAATAGCTATAAAAAACGACATTCATTAGCAACTTTATGCAATTTACGGTGTTTAAACGGCAAAAGACGACACATCGACGCGGTTTAAACAAACATTTCATTCTACAGCCAAACGTGTTTCTGATCTGATAATTTTTTGATGACGTTCATGATTTATTTGAGAATAATGTCCGTGGCATTTCTTTGATCTCGGCAATAATCGTGGTAATTGTTCATAACCAGTGTTTGTTTATAAAAAGGTTTCGTGTGTATATACATGTGTTACAGGATTTTGTTCGTTATATTACAAGTGTTTGTTTATTACCAGTGCATTCGTACTGATCCAGAAGGTCCTTTATATCGTAGAAGGAGAAGATCTGGTTACTTGGGGCCTCAAGGAACAAGAGATTTTTGTCTTTTAAGTCTATTGTTGTTTTCCCATTGCCGAAAGACTAAAAAAGATATTTTATTGTGTTTCTAAACAAAAAAATTTATTTATTAAAAGAGTCCTTTAATAAACGCTGCATAAAATATTCAAACATTTTCACGATCCCTTTAATAAAATTTACAAAAAAGTACGCTTCTAACAGTGATGTGAAACACCCCTTTCCTTGTAAATGTCTGATTTTAGTAAACATACCGTGTAGCCATACTGCATAACACTTCCAACATCATAAGGGTTTCGATTGTATGTCAAGCGTCTGTAGAAATTATACTTCATATCGGGATCGATGTTCTTCCAAACAATCCTGACATACCTATCCCGATCACTTCGAGACTGTTCGTGTCTTTGTCCAAGCCTGTGCAACATTTCGTGGACCGCTGTACCGACCTAAATATGTGTTTATTGAAAAGAAAGCTGTAATGTCTATCTTAAGGACGTGAAAAGTACGTTTAACATTATTGGTTAACATCTTTTACGGATTTTACTCAACTGACAACTTACAATTCAATAATATTTTTTTTATTGTGTTACATACATGTAGTTATAGGGAAGAATTTGCCTTTTAACACATTGAATAAAATTGTTCTTTTCGATTATAGCTTTAAAAAAATATTTTGAGTTTCAGCAAAATTGCATTACCGATCCACATCCGGGTTCTGCTAATGTTATCACGTGTTCATCATTCCCGTAGAAGCCAACACCGGAACTACATCCTGAGCCACTGAAACAGTACACGTTTTTTAGTTCACTGAGATTGATTTAAGAGTTGCAGTATATACATAGGCGTCGGAACCGGGGGGGCTTAGCCCCCCCCCCCCCCCCACTTTTTTTCCAAATATATACTTAGTATAGATATTGAACATATCTTCGTATTTATATTTCCACAGATACGTCTTAGTATAGGTTAAAATAAAAGTGTTGGTGTTTGGAAGAAAATTTTTGGTACTGGAGTTCAAACCTGGCCCCCCCCCCCCCCGAAATATTTTCGTGTCTGGGAAATAGACATTTCCTTTTTTTTTTTTTTGGCTTGTCTGGTTTTTTTGGAGGTACAAAAAAAATTTTCTTACACTTAGCCCCCCCCACTTTCAATTTGCTTCCGACGCCAATGATATACATGTGTATATATCACTAATATTATTGGTATCTTGCTCCATATTCAGATTATGCCCATTTATATGCGTGACATATATTGTGAAACACCTTGTATATAAACATGTGTATATATCACTAAAATGTGAAAAAAATCCTGTGTTTCTCTGCTAGGTTTTACATGTCAAGTTCAAGTTCCCTGACTGACCTTTGAACTCGAACATATCCCGTATGTCCAACTTCCGCTGTTACTTCGGATGACCTTGGCTTCCAGCGAATACAAGTGAGTTCATTAAATAACGCTATGGCGTCCTGGAATGGTTCTCTATTGGCAACTGGAAAAGAAGATTAAGATACTAGTTGTCGTGGAAATAATCTTTTGGCCTTATATTGAAAAGAATACGGAATGTAGAATACGGTATATGTTTGATTTTGGTCTTGACTGCAGTCAGCTAGATAATAATGCAGAAATAAATGTATTGCTTTTCGGCTGTCAAACGTTGATAGCCAAAATGGTCTACAGAAATCAATGGTAAAATCCTACCTAAATTATTGTCAAAAATGTAAGGAACAATGCCCTTGGGCCAGTTTTGCCAATTCGGTCCAAAGTTTCTTTTTCTGCGTTTCTATATATACAAAAAAAAAGAGTTTTATTGCATTTGAATTCCTCCATTAGGCAACTTCCCTTTTTCGGCAAGAGACATTAAAATATTATTTTCTAAGTTTATTATTCATGAAAATGATTTTGATTAATAACTGTATGATTTGTACAGGTCATAGGGATGTACCTCCTTTCCCGGTTCCCCTTCCTTGTCCGTTTCCTCTTTTCTCTCAATGGTTCTGTCCAATTTCTGTTCCTTTAACTTTTCTGAATCCTCTATGTGAAGACCCTTAGACTGTAATATAAAGAAATTTTACTGTTTAGGTTTCAGTTTTGAATATAAATCTTGCTCTTTTTTTCTTTTGTTATATTCTAAAATAATGTGCTTTCGGACCATACGTTACATGCCATCTTATGTACTATGTCCATACATGAAAAGAATGATTTTTTTTAACATTCTAATCAAAGTTATACATGTTTTTCTTTTTGATGTTATTTAAAAATAATGATACAGTAATAAGATTTGGCTATTTAAAAATCCTTGTTTTTATGACAAGAAAAATATTTCAAACACGAAGTTAAAACCGGTTCTCCTACAAAATGTGTTTTATAAAGATGTATATGAGAAACTCTTCTCTTATGCAACAGGAACATGACTGAAATATTGCAGATGGCATTAAACAAAATGAATACATGTATGTCATTTATACATGTAAAAAAAAAATAAGAAACCGGTAAAATCTATGTTATAAATGTATGTCCTTTAAAAAAGTTTTGATAGTCTGAACTATACGGTCTACTCACATGCTGGACTTTCCCATTCACAACTACACCAAAACTAGACAACAGCTGATCATACGGATCATCGGGATCGATATTCTAAAAAAAATAAACAATTGTTAATACCTTTTTCTACAATGTACCCAATCATGTACAATGATAAATGAGTTATAAATTATATATAACACGCAAATAGTTGCATACCTTATTATCTATTTCGTTTTCGTTACGTGTCTGGTTTTTGCCTTTATTTTCCCGCTGTTCTTCCACCTTAAAAATCGTATCAAATAAAGGAATTTCTTTCAAAGAAGTTCAACTTTTTTTTTTATTATCATTGTTTGAGTTTTTTAAGATATAAATCTACTTCTCTAAGTAACAAGTATTCATTTGAATGAATTCTTCTTGATAATTTCCTATCAATTTTGGAGGCAAACTAAAACCTTCATTAAAATGTTTACCCCTTACCCGGATTGCCTCGTTTTCAGCAAGGTCTAAAAGTCTCCTTATATCTTCTACCAGTCGGTCCTTTAAAGCTTTGAACATGAAACGAAAATTGCCAAGTACAACATATATGCTGAGAAATTGACTGTACGAATTCTACAGATAGAATAAAAAAAAATGTGTCTTGAAATGAAGTGTTATAAAAACTGGTTATGGAAGTGATTGATCATTAGAGGGTGTTTACACCTCTACAACACCTGATCCTATCTCCGGAATTTTTGGCTATCCATGTTTTATGTACACTTCACTGTTTTATGTTTTTTGCACGTGGATATTTTTTCTGATCGATTACCGTCTTTAATATCACATTTTCCATTATTTACACACTGAGTTATCCACGGATTTTTTCCGTTGTCTTCCGATCATGACAAGGAACACGCGGCGGGTTTTACTGGTCGGCAGGGGATGCTCATTTCCTCCATGGCACCAGATCCCACCTCTGATGTTTAGGAGCTCCTTGTTTGCTTCGTTCCTACGTTGTTAATGTGAATGGGCTTTTGAGCTCGAATACTATATTTTATCTACCCATGTCATTTAAGGAAGTTATGTAGATGAATATTTGCTAACAAAATACACACTGAAAATGCTTTGGTTTTGATTATAAAATGTCAAAAAAATCTCAAAGACTTTTTTATATATACGTTAAACATGTTTGCCAATTATTTATATGTATATCATATCGGATTTCCATTTTCAAGTACCAATAATGTCTCGGGTACCATTGGTGGATTGGGGGGCGCCCTCTCGAATTGTCAAACTTAGTGTAAATCATAGCTTCATCGAGAAAATTTACAAATGATTACTAGGTAGACCTCATCTTTACCCTACAAATCTCTAGAATCCAGGATATTCCGGGGACTTCGCCCCCTGGATCCACTGCGGGTTTCAAGACACAGACACAAGTCTACTTTTGGCGCCCCCTTTAACTTCAATTCCTGGATCCGCGCCTGGGTACATAAGATAATATGTGCAGCAATTCAGGAGGATTTCTCCATATGGTAACTATTTAGTATAACTTATTTGGACAAACTCACGAGAAATAATAAATCACGTCTTATTAATTTTCGCTGAAAGACTTATAAAACAACTGTTATTAAGAGCAATTTATTTGCTGACCGTGCTATAAGTATGATTATTAAATAATATATTTCTTCTACTATGTATTTAAAGTATATACCACACAAACGAATACAAGTTTACTTGTGTTTAATTTATCGTATTCGGGGAGCATTTTTTTATAGCGTGCGTGGCCCTATTTACACGAATATGTTTATATTTCAATTCCAAAAATATATTAAATTTTGTATTTTTTTTTTCCACATGGCTTAACAGTTTCAATAAAAAAAAATTGATTGCTGTTGGAAGGCTTTTTAGGGAGAGATAAATTGTTCAGCATGAAAAACGCTGACAATCAAAGAACGATGATATATAAAGCATGTGATCTACATTTGGAACAAATAAAAAGCATTCCTGTTCTGAATCATTCATATCGTTTATCTTTCGGATCTCAAACTTCAAACAGTAAAACTAAAATCATATATTTGTAAAGACGCATGCTTTCTCACGATGTGAAGAGACATAAAAGAAACTTTGTTAAAATCGTTACTTTATTTATTTCATGGTACGTGAATCCTTTAATTGAAAGTTGACCATTTTAACAAGCATAAGATACAATTTATATTCATGCCCAAGGGCTATTTTATATCCACGCCCTGTATTTACATTGTGATTTCTAAATTGAAAGTTAATTTGGTTCCTATCAATTTTATCCTTATTTCAGATTTGATTAAGTGCCGCAGGAGTTCTTTGCGTAAGTAGACATTCATTAATAATGTCTTCCCCGACACAGTGCAGATTTCATGAATATAAATAACTCGAAGTCAAACCTTCTACATGTTGTCAACAGCAAAATCGTCGGATTTCATTATACTTGACGACTGAAATGACCAAATTGAAAATTTTCGACATCTTCGTTAAAGAATTATACAGCCAATATTTTAACATTTAAAGTGCATGTTGCATTTAATGAAAACTGCGCTTGATTTATACTGCACTCGATTCAGGTATATTTACGAAAGCTATTTTTGGTTTATTTAATTAAGACGAAAAATATGCACTAAATCAATCACACCAACTTCAAAACATCAAGTACATGTAGAATCATCGTCGCAAACCACGACCAAAATGTAAGATCCTCTCCCATTCTGGAAAGAGCTTTGTGCGGACTCTGGACGGTGGCTTGACATGATGATGTAGAATGTTTATTTATAATAGTGCTTAGTCTCAACTTCTTCCCAAATACATCGTTCATATTTATTTATATTGTGCATATTGTGTTTAGGAGAAAAATAAAAATAAAATCTTAGGTGCTAAATTTGATAAACGGATCACATATTCATTTCTATATTATCATTAAAAAAGAAAAGAACTATTCTTTTTCTCTCCGTAGTATGCTTATTATAACTGTGAAAAAAACATTTAGGAAACTCCTGCAATGGATTTTTTTTTTCATTAATTTATCTTGCGTTTTCCTTGCATCAAATTTTCCCCTAAAAAAATATATTCTTTCTGTTCACTCGTTTAGACGTTGCTTAAATGCATAAAGATTTCCGAAAAGGAAAAGTCGCCGTGTGACGCAGTGATTAAACAATTTCTAAGGAGTTGGTTCTTTCAATGATGTGGAGACCGTTCCTTTAAATAAAACTGGATAAAGTAACAATTTAAACTCAATATGATTTTAAAAAATATCAATACATAAATACCCATGCATAAAACCATTTAAGAACATTGACTTTTACTTGTCAATTTTGACAAATAACTTTATTTCAAGCAAAATTGGCTCCATTTTTCATCCTCAGCCTCCATTAAAGAATAAGGCAGTATACTCTTGATTTAATTTTCTTGAATGCTTTGCATCAAAAGAAACGAAAAATAAATCATGTAAATCTTATAAATAATTATTTTATTATAGAAAAGTTTAAAGAAAATAAATATAGATTAAAAACTCCTCTTCTTGTTAAAAAAATATTAGTGTAGCATGAAAGAAACATCAAAAGATCTCTTGTTGAATTTATCGTGATTTTCTGTTTTATTTAATACTGAGTATATCGGCACAATCTCTTCGTTTGAAAGTTGATAGGCAGTCCGTTTGTACAGTGCAGAAAGGTTAATACAGCGAAGTTTAAAAAAATAAAATACACAATGTGTTATAGAAGCTAAAAGTGACATTTTATACCCAATTTCAGTTTTACCTGTATAAAATACAATGTTCACAAAACCCTATTCGGAAGCTTAAACATATTTCATTGTAGAGCTTCGTTATGATGGAGTCTACTTGGAAAAAATAATAATGTAAGGAAATTAAGGGGGTGTCGGCAATCGATGCTGTAATCAAGTATGTCTAGTTAATATTCTCGAAAAAAAAAAACTCGACCAATACTTTCGTATTTCTAAGACAATTTGTTTCCGGTTATTATTTATATACGACTGGAAGGGAATACACACTTGAAATGTAAATTTCCTTATTTAAGGTTTTACTTAACATTAATGATATTATCAATTAAATGAAAAAAGAAGAATTGATCATTTATTCTTCATTTTTTATGTAGTATATCAGAAATCTCAACATAAAATCTCAACTTAAATATTTTACAAATAAATAACATATCGCAAGTTACATTATTATAATAATAAAAATATGCGGTCATATCACTTGATTACAAAATTGAATTCTCCAATCACATGCACCATTTTTGTACAATTTTATTTTTACCATTTTTGTTCAATTTTATTGTACAAAAATGAAGAATAAGTGCTAGCTAAAATAAACACAGCAATTTTAGCAAAATATACCTGAAAAACATGTATCGGAATTTATTATTTAAACATGCATATCAGGAGATGGGTAAAAATTATGTATATTTTACCTTTCTCTTTGGGTCTTGCCCCTGAGTGTAAAAATGAAGTAACGATCACCAATACAAAGAGAATTCCCTGTCCCCTCCACATTTTTCAGATGGACACAGTTTACTGTGCCACTTGTGAAAAAATAAACCTTTATATACGTCTGTATTCAAAATTGGCCAGGTGGGTCATGTAGAATTAAATAGCTGGTGTAACTAATATTCTCGTGATGTTTTTACTTTCTCTGTAGTATTTCTTTTTAAGTGCAATAAATGTTTCACCTGTAAAAGAAAGTATAACCTTATCAAAATATTTTACCTACCCTAATGTTTATTAAGCAATCTTCGTAGAACATTTCTACAATTTATTTTACGTCAACAAATCTCCTTCTCCTATTTCTGATCAAGACGAATTGTTACATTTGCTTTTCTGTGTTGTAGAGAACTGAAATAAAGAAATTGAAAGAAAAAGTGAACAAGCTCATATGCCCCACGCTCCCCAAAAATCGAAGTGCCGAAATTCCCTTAATAAATAAAGGAAATGGAATTTCATTGTAATATGCACAACTATACATTGTATCTAAATATCTGCGAAGTTCAGCGGCTTATGATGAGTTGGTTTGACAAACTGTTCATCTCTATATTCAAGGTATGGCCAAAATTCTAAGTTGAAAAGTGCCGAAATTCCAAGAAAAAAATAAATGAATCCGAATTATCTGGTGATTTACATATTGTGTCCTAAATATCTGCAGAGTTTGACGAAATTCGGTGCAGCAGTTCATGGGGAGATGAGCCAACAAACTGTTCATCTCTATATTCAAGATTTGGCTTAAAATCTAAGTTGAAAAGTGCCGAAATTCCCAAAAAAAATAAAGGAATCGGAATTTTCTAGTAATATCCATATCTACACATTGTGTACGAAATATCTGCAAAATTTGACAATATTCTGTGCAGCAGGTTATGAGGAGTTCACCTGACAAAAAAAAAAACAGGACTGACGGACTGATAGACGGGTCAAAACATTATACACTCTACCTCCTGCAACTTGTTGCATGGGGTATAAATATTTTATCTTCCAAGCTCGGTCCCGTGTCACGGGAGGCGTTGGCACGATAAAAAGCCCTCACTGCTCAATGGCCCTAAGTGCAGGGTAAAGATCAAAATTTGAAGCCCTTCATCGGTATATGGGGAGTGAAAAAACTCGAATGGGACGTAAAATAACACACAATCAATCAATCAATCCAAAGTAAAAATCTTCGTTACAAGCGAAAAAAATCCTTCTTATAAACTTCCCTATTCAGACTATAAGACACATTTCGATTTTTTTCCCTGATATTTGAGTAAATCAATGAATATAACAACCTTTTTTAACACGAACATGTACATTACATTAGGTAAATTGTTGGTATTACAATGCATTAAATGCGGCTTATAATATCGATATCTAAGGTCTCTGACCCTGAATAATAGAAAAAAAATACATAATAATGTTATCTAAGAAAACGATCAAGCTTTGTATTTAGCCATCATCGATATCATGACTTATTGAGAGATCATCTTTGTTGATAACAACATCTGTATTAAGCAGAAAAGACCTGTTTAATCTGTTTTGATACTTTTCTTTTGAAACACGCCTGAAAAAAATAATTCGCTTTTATTCTAGTTAAGAGTGATTACTATCAAGAAAAATATCAAATAAAATTTGTTTAGTACCCCCTTTTTTTGAAAGTCAAGTGATTGTTTTGAGTATCCAATGACAGGTCAATAGCAAACATAGTGTATATGTATATACATTTTTTTTAAATGAACTTACTTTTAAAGCAGTAATAAAATAAATCTCAAACAAAAAAAAAACTAATTTAAAAAAAAAACAAGAAATTTTCAAATCTTATCTTAAAACATTCGTTCTTTTTTTTTAAATACATACAGTGTACATGATTTTTTTTCTCCAAAAATACAAATATAGATTTTCAAATATAAACCTATCTTTAAAACATTGAGTCTTTTATTAAAATTGTTACATTAAATATTTTCAAATCAAACCCTATTTCATTTGTTTATAGAATAGCCCAGCACACCTACTTAAGAAGTTCCAATGAAAAGCACCCGTCAGAAAGTTTTTTATGATTTCTATCATATGTTTTCGATTCTTTCTCATCAAAGAAGTTTTTAACATTATGCGTTTTTTCCCAATTGCAGAATATGAATCATGACAGAGGTGTTCAAAGTATACGTAGACAAAGTTCGTCATGCATTGTATTTTTATATTATGGAAAAACAGCCTGTATCCTGATGCTTAAAAGCTACAGTTCACCTAAAGTATGACGCGAGATGCATTGATCGAGCCAGTCAGTGTCAAGTGTATTAAAACCTTTTAAAAAGGAAAAACCTTGAACCTGAAAAGAAAAGCATTTTACACAGATAAAAAGGAATTATATTTGATGTAAAAGAGACAATTTTTTCAGTTAAAAATTTAACTAATGTATCGAAGAGATATGGAAATGCTACTTAAAGATAGACTGAAATAGTAATTTATAAAGATCTGTCAATGGAGTCTGTTCCCATTTTACGGATGAATCGACGGTAAAATTACAATACATTAAAACATAAAAGAAGTTATGAATGCTTCAGTGTTTATCAACACATCGTGCCAAATTAAGAGCAAAGTAAACATGTTTTTAAAACATTATTCACAACAATTTATGTGAGGAATCTGTAAAGGATGCATAAAATTGTTAAGAAAACAACTCAATGATCTCAATATTCCATTTTAAACACCAAACAAGAAAATGCGCAAAACTGTGAGAGGATATAACCTTCTGCAGAATGTAAACAAAATTGAAAAAAATGATCAAATAAAATTATAAAAGCCCCTGCCTCCCATGTAATTATAATGGTAATGTCTATGTTTCGCTTTTGGTGACATAAAACAAGTCCCAAATCAACAAAATTAAAATAGGTGCAGTGACACAATGAAATAAATGATCTCTGCACGTGAAAGTATCATTAAATTTAATTCAGGTGTTGCGGATGAGAGATGGGTACCCTTCCATACTACAGAAAGAATTGCCGTATCAATGGTTTGCTACGTAAACGATCACAATGTAAAATACGAAGTGCACAATGACACAACGTCACAAAGATTCTATGAAAGTTTCTTTAAATTTCACCTCATTACCTTGACCTTCGAGTTTGACCCACTTTAACGAAAAAATTCCGTTCCTTAACTATAGTCATAGGTTTTGAACAGTTGGGGCTAGGGCTTTCATACTTTACATATTTATTCACTGTAAAAACACCTATTTCAATGTTCTTTCATTAGCTCTAAAAAGAATATTCGACCTATTGACCTTCAACTTAAAAGTTTGCCCCACTTTGGAAAAAAAAAAACCTTGACCATAACTTTTGAACCGTTAGTTTTGTTTGTATGTTTCTTTAACATCCCTCTCGAGACATTTTCACTCATATGGAGACGCCAACACTTGCCAGTGGAGAGCTGCAAATTTTGTCCTATACTCGGCCATTGAGCAGGGATGTATCTTTATCGTGCCAGCGTGCACCTTCTGCGACACGGGACCTCAATTTATATGATATCATCTGAAGGACTGGTCTCCACGTCCTACAGTGGGATTCGAACCCGCGAAGTAAGGCTCAACTCCCTACTGCGCTACTCTAAAGCAAACGCTCTAAACACTGCGCCACGCGGGCGACTTTAACAGTTTGTACATGTACAAGAGCTATAATATTTAACGGTCTATCCTTTTTGAAAATAACTTTCTTTAGATACAAGCAATTTTGACCTTGACCTTATCATGAGAATTTGACCCACTTAAAAAAATTTTAACCTTCACTTTTGAACTGCTACTATTAAGGCTTTCATATTTCACAGGTGTATTCCTTGTGAGCAGACCTTCCTCTGATAATTACCAACAATTTTGACCTCGGAACACTGCATTTGAAAGATTTCAATCCTCGCTGCAATACGGGGGCATTGGTGTTTCACAAATATATCTTGTAAATATAGAAAACAATTATTGCTTGTTTATTATTTAATCTTTCATTCAAGAATGTTTAAACCATCAAAAGTTAAGGCTTAAAATTAAGATCTTTACTCGGCACTCAGAGCCATTGAGCAGTGAGGGATATTTATCTACTCGGCACTCAGTGCCATTGAGCAGGGAGGAATCCTTTTCGTGCCAGCAATAAATGCTTACACTGGTACGTAGCAGGGACGTAGCAACAAGGGGTCAGGGGGGCCTGCCCCCCCCCCCCCCCACTTTTTTCCCCAACATTACCTTGACTATTGAAAATGTCCATTGAAAGGTTGATTACCCCCTCCCCCCACTTCTTACCACAGTATAGTGATATCAAGGAAATGTAGTATTGTGTGCAGAAAAAAATTGGAAGTGAAAGGAAGTTGGTCTTGAAAAAAAAAAAAAGATGGCCACTCCCCCCCCCCCCAAAAAAAAAAAAATAGGATTTTCGAGTTTGGGCAATTGCTCTTTTTTTTTTTTTGCTTGTCAACTTTAACAGGTGATTAAAAACTACCTCTTGGAAATAACGGCATTCCATCGATGATAACTTGTAATACTCAGACATTGGCGTCTTGGGAAGACCCCTAATCTTGGGGAAGTGAGAGCGAAGTCATTATACATGGACTACATGTAAACAAAATAAGGTAGATCTCGTCCTATACATGTAACAGACTCGGAGTATTACTAACTCGGCCTATAACGGAGTCGGCCTACCGCTGAAACAGAGAAATTTACGTGATTTGACAAACTTTGTGACTTTTTCATAAATCATGGCATGTTGTATACTTGCGATCGAAATATTGCATAAATAGAGCGATCGAAATATCACACAAAAAGAGTAATAATTTTTAATTTATATAAATCGTACATGATGAAATGTTCACTAAAAAGGAGAGCAGACGATAAAAGAAGTTCACTGAAGAGCACATTCCATAGTACAAGTAAAAACTCGGAAGTTCATGTCAGAGCACATATTACACTCCTTACAATACACAATAACACTGAAGTTCATTAGATCTATCCACACTCGCTGAGGAACTAGGATACAGTGCGCTGCCCATCCCCATACTCTTCCCATGTCTGGTGGAGCCGGCATTC